AGTCCCTTTAAGGAAGGCATGGGAACACACCAGTGCCTGATTTGGGCTTTGACTTATATTCCATTTGGGGGAAATTGACATCTTGGTTTAGTTCTTAATTAGTTTTGTTGTCCAAAGAAGCTGGTGCTTATCAAACCATGTGGAGGTTTATAAAAGAAGGAGTAGATTATTTTTCCCTATCAAAATTTAATCTTTTTAAAAGTGCCCCCTCTGTTTCCTAGGCACATAAGAAACATGGCATTTTACCCTCCTCTAAGGGGCTGGACATGCCAAGAATTTGGGGATTTGGGAGGGGCAGTGGAGCCGTGCTGAGGGTTCTGAGACAGTAGAAATTCTGTCTTGTGGCCAGCTAGGAGTGGAGCCAGGGTACTGTGCTTGGGTGTGGCTGAGGTCTAGCTGACTCCTCATTTAAGGAAGAGAAACTGAGGCAAGACTTCCAATTGGGCCAGATACAGTGAGAGCTTTGCAGGTCTGCGGTGGAGAGTGAGGCAGTACTTGTTCTCTCATTTCTTTCTTGCCTATCTTCCTTCCTTCCTTTTTCTTTTCTTTTCTTTCATTTTTTTTCTTTTCTTTTTTTACTATTTGTGTAAGTTTTTTATATGGAGAAGCAAGTCAGGACCCCTGAAATCTGCAGAATCATTGCAAATAACTTTGGTTGGAAAAAATGAGGAATTGAGCAAAATGGGTGGTTGGATTCTCACACCAAATTCCAGGATTCTGGGTGCACCCTACCCTAGCCCAGCCAGTACTGGGGCAAAGTACCACTATGATTATTGTTCTTGAGGTTGGACTCCAACAAAAATTCATGGAATAGGGTGGAACATGAGGGTGATGAGAATTCATGCAATATGAGTGTCGTTAAAATTATCCCAAGGAGATAGAATCCTTTATACTAGGTTTTAAAGACTTCCTCAAGAAACAATCAAATACACAAAATAAAAAATAAAAACAGGTCACCAGAAAACCCCAGGTTAGGCCTGCCATCTCCTCTTTGTTTTCCATTCCTGAACAGGAGCTAAAAAAAAAAAATGCAATCCAGCATCCAGTTATCCAGGCGGGTGTCCCAGCAGGTTCCCGATGCTAGAGGATGTGAGATTTGGGAACAGCTGAGAGAACACTGACTTTATAGGAAGGAGGCTTGGATTTCTGCGACTCCTTGGGTGGTAGAGTCCCATCTGAGCTGCTCTGTGCCTCTCTTCCTTATCAGCCTCTCCTCAGCTGCTTCTAGAACTGACAGGAGAATAAAAGATTATATCACACAAAGGACTTTTTGTGGATGGGGCAAAGCTTGAGAGTACCATATGAACACGAGATAGTACTTTATATTTTTAATTACAGAAAAAAAACAAACCTAAAGGAGATTCTTGCAGGGACTCATTTGAGAGGATGGGACAGGTAGCTTCAAGAGCTTTCCTCCATTCCTGTCTTTCAGCTCTGGAGTCATAGTCCCCTTCCTTTTGGCCTCTGGAATCAGAACATTCTATCCTTCATCTTATTTACTCACTCGCCCACCTCCCACCTGCCTCTTTGGTTATCTGTCATGTAATTTTGCATATCTGCTTTCCAAAGGCCCTCCCTCATCACTGGGCTCTTGTAGGTGCTTTTGGAGGCCCACAGGACAGCGTTTCAGTTGTGAGCCAGCTGCTGATGTGGGCCAGAAGCTCCCAGAAATATTCGGATTGCCAGCCCAGGAAAATGAATAGTTGAAATGCTGTATAGGAGGTAAAGTTGGGGCTTGAACCAGCAGACCTGTCACTAACTTACTGGGCTATGAGATTTCAGGGAAGGCAAGAAAGAGGTTGGGTCTTCCAGACTTGAGAGAGAAAGTCAAGTAGCTCATGGGGTCTGGGTTTGGGCTGGGTTTGGATGTGTACGACAGGCAAACTCAGGATCTATGGTATTAATTAGTATCCCTTCTAGTATCAATTGTTCAAGTTTTTGGAGAGGGGGGGTACCAAGGATTGAACCCAGGGGTACTTAACCACTGAGCTACATCCCCAGCCCTATTTTGTATTTTATTTAGAGAGAGGGTCTCACTGAGTTGCTTAGCACCTTGCCATTGCTGAGACTGGCTTTGAACTCTCGATCCTTATGCCTCAGCCTCCCAAGCCACTGGGATTACAGGCATGTGCCACTGTGCCCGGCTCAATTGTTCAATTTTATTCAAATTCTTGAGTACCTACCAATTGCTGGCCCTATGCTGTAGACACTGTGGGGGATATAAACATGAATCAAAGCCAGTCCTCTGGCCACAGGTTGTTTATTATCTAGGAGTCACAGATAACTGCAACCCAAGAGAAAGAATGATAAGTACTGAAAGAGTACAAAGTATACTGAAGAAATTCAGAATGTCCTGAGACTCTCCTTGCAGGGGATTCCCATGATCCGGAAGGCGCACTGGAGGTGGAGGCAGTTAGGCAGGCCCTGGCAGGTGGCTCATATTTAAACGTTGGGCAAAACCTCAGGAGGGAGGGCCCTGACGGTGGTGGGAAGTGGTGTGTAATGTACTTGGTCCAAGACCTAGAAAGGAGTGAGATGTAAAGAGTTAGTGAGACCAGAACATGAAGCTTTTGACTTCCATCTTTGAAACAGTTTGTGAAGGGTTTTAACATGGAAATGTTAACATCATTTAAAATGATATGTTGTAGTCAGTATGTATTCACTTAAAGTTGATGATATAAAGTGAAAGCAGTGAAATAGTATATACAGTATGATACCATTTTTTTATTCTAAAGCATACACACATGCGTGCACACACACAGAAGGTAAGGAGTACAAGGATAAATATCTCACAGTAGTGACAGTGGTTATCTCTGGGTGTTGAGATTTGTTCTTTTTGTTTATATGTTTCCTGACACTTTCACAATTCATACTTACTGCCTTTGTATTTAGAAGTCATTTATAAATTCTTTTTTTTTTTAAAGAGAGAGAGAGAATTTTTTTTAATATTTATTTTTTAGTTTTTGGTGGACACAACATCTTTATTTTATTTTATTTTTTTATGTGGTGCTGATGATCGAACCCAGCACCCCCGCACATGGCAGGCGAGCGCACTACCACTTGAGCCACATCCCCAGCCCTATAAATTCTTTTAACTGAGCACATATTGTATGACGGCTGAGGGAGATGATCTAGAAATATGCCAGGGAATAGATAAAAATTGAGAGTGAAAGTTGGCTTTACAATCACACTGATAATATATCCAAATTGGAGGGGAATTCCACAAATGTTCACTAACGTGGGAATGGCTGAGCAAATTACCATACGTCAACCTGGTGATATGTCAATCGTATATAGTCTTTAAAAATGACAAATATGTAGATTGTTGATACTTGGAAATGGAGTTGTAAAAAGAGTGGAATGGGATAGAACAAAATGTAGTACCTTTTATATTGATTACAAATATGTCAAGATTTTCATAAATACCTACTTAAATGAATTTGGAGAAGGTGATGGTATGTCTTTTTTGTTGTTGTGGTAAAATATAAATAATATAAAATTTGCCATACATTGACACGGTTGTGTAACCATAACTACTGTGCATTTCAAGAACTTTGGGGGGTTTAGTTTTGTTTGTTGAGGTGGGGTCTCCTTTTGTTGCCCAGGCTGGTCTTGAAATCCTGGGCTCCAGTGATTCTCCCATCTCCACCTCTGGGGCAGCTAGGACTGTGGGCCTGGCCACTGCTGCCAATTGCAGAACTTTTTTTTATCATCCCAAACAGAAACTTCATATCCATTAAAAAACTCCCATTCTCCCTCCTCTTATACCGCGGTAACCTCTATTCTCCTTTCTGTCCCTGTGAATTGGTTTCTAGGCACCTTGAATAAGTGGACTCATGATTTCTGCCCTGTATGTCTGGCTCATTTCACCTGCCATCGTCTGTGTTGTAGCATAGGCTGCATCTGTTGTTTGGCTCTTGTGATTCGTGATGCTGTGATCATGGGTACACAGACACCTTTTCAAGCCCTGCTTTTATTTTGGGGGGGAGGGGGGGGTGTATGTACCTACAGGCAGAATTGCTGGATCATAAGGGAATTCTATGTTTAGCATTTTGAGGAATTGCCAACTTTTTAGTGTCTTTTTAATATAAAACTCTTCAAGTCTATTTATACCTACAGTTCCTAGTTCTTTTTGCTGTGCTTAATATACACATAAATTATCAAGGGATTACTGCAGATGTGAAATCATTTTATTCTGTTTAAAGGAGAGAGCCTTTATAGATCTTAAGATAGTGGAGTGTTTTTAATGTGGCCATGGAAAATAGGGTCAGTTCAGACCATTGAAACTTCCAGATGATTCCAGAACCCTTGCATTTTATCAACAATTTCAACTTTTGCCCTCTCCCAGAAATCTTTAACCAAGGTAGATTAAAATGAATGGATTTATAATTGCTCATTTTATCCTATTGAGACAGAGGAGAGAATCAAATGACTTGGATATTTTCTTAAACTGGACTCCTCAGTCCTAGAGAGTTGAAAGTAGTTATGTCATTTTCCTCTTCGCAGTCACTAGGTTCCCTGGAGCTTACTGTTCTAAAGGGAGTATGAAGAATCCTTCAGTTAATTGAGCTGACTTTGAGCAGTGTGCAGGAGCCCTGCAATGTGTGCTGGAGGAGGAAGGGGAAACAGACACCAAAGATGGGAGAAAACTTGGTTTTTGTACACTTAGAATTCCCTCTAATGATGGAAAACACTGCCAGTTTCAGGAAACTGTGTTCATGGTTCATGTGCATTAGGAACAGGAAAAAGACAGAAAACAGGTATAAAGTAACTCTGAAGTCCATAGCAAAATGGTCTAAATTGCTTCCAATGATAAAGCCTAGGCGGTTAAGTCAGGAAACCCCTTGACAGACTGTGCTTTTGTAGGCTGCTTCACATTCCTCTAGGAGGGAAGTGAAGGCATGGCAACCAGGCAAGGCTTCCTAGAAGAGAGAAGGCCGGTTGCCATGTTTCCTTCCTTAATGCTGATGACAAGGTGTGTGGGCTGTGCTCTCTTCCAGCCAGTGTCCCATGTTCGGTGGCCCCAGAAAAGTCAGTGTGTAGGCCTCAGCCACCCCAGGTCCGACGTACTTTCTCCCTGGACACCATCCTCAGCTCCTACCTTCTGGGCCAGTGGCCACGAGATGCTGATGGGGCCTTCACCTGCTGTACCAATGACAAGGCCACCCAGGTAATGCAACTCGATCCTAATGGGATCAGGATGGGGTGGGAGGGCTGGCTGAGGAGGCCTCTGGTTTCATACCCTTCTCAGTCATTGAGATGATTTGTCCTTGGTTTTGGTTATACATGTAAATAGCTTTTCATCTTCTGCTGTTTACCAGCTTGTTTTTTTTTTTTTTTTTTTGTAAACTTACATGAAAATGAGTTTGCATTCCATCTGACTGGTGGAAGGGAGACGTCAATCTGGGTTTTCAGTTTGACTTTCAGTACTTATGTGGGTAATCAACAGTTGACTTTGGAATTTAGACTGGGTTTTAAAAAATGAGATTTACCTTGCTAAAATTAAACTAAGGCCAACATTCAATTGAGTTTGCATTCCCCAGATAGCCAGAGGAAGTGGCCAAAAAATATGCTGAGCCAGAATCAATCCCACTGGAGAATTAGGAGTGGAAAGTTCTCAGATAATAGAGTTATTCCTTGCCTGTAGCCCAGACTGGGATTCCAGTGCACCCATTTGAGTCCTGTGGAGCCCAGGTTCCTCTCCTTCAGTATGTTTATTCTTCTCATTAAGAATCCTAAGCTTGGGCTGGGGTTGTGGCTCAGCAGTAGAGCACTTGCCTAGCACATGTGGATACTGGGTTTGATCCTCAACACCATATAAAAATAAATAAATAAAATGTATTGTGTCCATCTACAACTAAAATAATAGTAACAACAACAACTTAAGCTTAACTACCTGGGAAGTTGAGGTAGAAGGACCATAAGTTTGAGGCCACCTTGGCAACTTGGTAAGACCCTGTCTCAAAATAAAAATTAAAAAGGGCTGGGGATGTGGCTTAGTGGTTAAGTGCTCTGGTTCAATCTCTGGTCTGGTGCTAAAAAAAAAAAAACAACCTGGGCTAGGGTTGTGGCTCAGAGGATGAGCACTCACCTAGTACATGCGAGGCCCTGGGTTTGATCCTCAGCACCACATAAAAATAAATAAATAAAATGAAGATATTGTGTTCATCTAGAATATTAAAAAAAAAAAAAAAAAAAAAAGCCCTAAGCTTGGAAGAAGTCTCATAGACCATCCAGTCCATTTGTCAGTTTTTGAGTAAAATAGTATTAGCCTAAGCAAGAAATCATCTCTTACAAAGATATTTCTTAATCTGATTCAGGACTTCAACATTCTTAGCAGTTTAGTTGGTAGGAGGCAAGTCTCTCTTCTGATGCAGTTTAAAGCAATTCACCTTTAAAACAAATGGAAGTTCCCAGACAGGTGTAAACAAGGAGGAAAGGACACTCGGCTCAAAGTCAGCCCTCTCTTCTGGATGCTGTTGGACAAGTCAGCTCTTTCTTTGCATGTTAGGTGAAGTTGCCTGCTCTGCCTATTTGTAGGCATCCTGACGGCCAGGTGACATGCCAACGTACCCCTGCAGCTCACTCTACATCTTCTCCTGAGCACATCATGTCGGTTCTTTTACTTATTTTTTATAAGATTCATTTTCAAATGTCACTAGTGAATGTTTGAATGCCCAGTCCTGTTCTTGGCATGTTGGAATGGAGAATAAGGAAATGAAGACAAGATTTGGCCTCTCTGAGCCTGGATTCCAGTTCCATGAAGGCCAGTGAGCAGCCAGCCAAGGGCGGAGATGGGGCCAAATGTCTAGCAAAGTTTAGAGGAGGAGAATTCTTCTGGGGATACTCCACCTTGAACCAACAAGAATTTAAAACAAAAGAAGTTAAAATTGATGGCCCTCCTTGGAGCTTCAGGTAGAAGATGAAGCGAATACACTCTAGGTAGCACAGAAAGTGGGTCTACTTCCTGGGAGCCCAATGTCCTTTAACCTTTGACAAGGGCAAGCCAACTAGTTTATGCTCCTCCCTAATGGGCCTGGAAGCACATGTCCCTTTCTCTTTTTAGAGAAATGCTCAGGCCAAATAATGTAGTCAGGGAGGGCTTCCTGGAGGAACAGGACATGAGTACATGGACTCACCGTGGCTCCCGCTTTGCCAGATGGCAGGTTTCTGTGTAGCCCACCCATCTCTGCCTCTGTCATTTCCTGCTGCCAGCCTTCTAGGAAGTCACCATCCTACCCCTTAGATAACTTTCTCTTTGTCAGTGCAAGAAGGGTTGGCCTCAGATGTTCCCTGGCTGGGTGGAGAGGCGTGGGTTCCAGGCTGCGTGTTTTTGCTCAGGCTCCAGCTGTAGGCCAGATCTTTTATATAACAAGTCTGGGCTTCTTGCCACAGCAAGACAGAGGTCAGCGATGCGCCTCCATGGGTCTGGCAAGGCCCAGCCATACAGCTTTCCTCTTTTCCTGGGATGGGCTCCAGCCCTCGAGGAACTCTTAGCAACCTGTCAATATTGTGGCTGCAGGCAAGAGATGGGAGAATTCTGATCAGCATACGCATCCAAACCAAAATATGCGCTCTGCCCATTTTCATTCCTGGTCTTCTGGGAATTTTCTGCTTCTAGGTTTTCGGCTCCCTTCTAATTCCTGCTTGAGGCCCCTGGCCTGGCATGAGCTACCTTCTGCAATGCTGGTATTGCACTGTGAAAGCCTAAGGTTCTCCTGACAGCTCCTTCAATAGCATGTTCCTTTCCTACTGAGCACAGGGAGATCACCCAGAAGGGTCAGAGATGAAGAGAGGTTTTATTGGTAGGTACACGGAGGCCGAGACTACTGAAGTCCTTCATAGCTTTATTATTTATTTATTTTGCAGTGTTGGAGATGGAACCCAGGGCCTCGGGCATGCTGGGCAAGCATCCTACCACTGAACTTCAGTATCCCCCAACCCATTGAAAGCTTTTTTAAATTGTTAAAAATGGATGGATACCAGACTTCCCCCAATTGCTTTGAGCTAGAAGGCTGGCTAACTATAAATTTCCACTTCTCTTTATCATTCATAATTCCCATTACTTTACTAGTATTTGCTGCATGTGAAGCAGCTGTAGGTCTAGCCCTTCTCGTAATAGTATCTAATACATATGGCCTAGACTACGTCCAAAACTTAAACATTCTTTAATGCTAAAAATTATTATTCCCACAATCCTACTCGCCCCCCTTATATGATTCTCAAAACCCTCTATAATTTGAATTAATCCCTCAATTCATAGTCTGATAATTAGCCTAATTGTTCTCCTCACATTAAATCGTCCTACAAACACAGATCTAATTTTTTCATTAGTTTTCTTTACAGACCCTTTACCTTCCCCTTTTGCCCAACCCTACTCCCACTTCCTGCCCTTTTCTCTTAGCACTAGCAGTGTAGTCGTTTATTATCCGCTTTATCTACCATAACTGGCAGTACTTGCTGCTGCTCTCTTACTTGCCTAACTTCCCCAACACAGAGGCAGTGCCAGATTGTATGTTTAGAGACCACATCAGCCCCAGCATTCCTAGGGGGAGGAGCCATAGTTATATTTAAGGCTAAGCAGCTCCTCCTCTTCTGAATCCCCTAAAGGGAACAAGGTCCCTGCACTTTCCAACCAAGTTTTCAGACCAAGGCAGCAAGGACAGAACTCCTGCCATTAGATAGCTGGCTTGCTCTGTACTCAAGGCCTCTTTGGAGGGCAGAAGATGGAATTAAAAGCTCTTAGTTCTTGAGTCTATTCCTGTGTTGCCAACAGCACCAGTGTTCACTTCCTGGCTGTCTTAAGCTCTTAGGCAGATACAAAGGATTTTCCTCAGGCAATTCACAGTCTGACATGCGGAGCTGGTTACCTGAGTACTTGGGGCAACAGGACCGGGAGAAGTATGGATGGATCTTATTTGGGAAATTGATTTTTTTAGGAAGGAGGAAGAGGTGTGAATGTGATCACTGGGGAGGAAGTGCTTTGGAGAGGCAACATGTTTTGAGCCAGGAGGAATAATGGGAGAGGGAATGACCAGCTGTCCCAGAGATCAGCCTAGTGAGTACAAGGAAGATGGGCCCAGCAGGAGCTGGATGCACAGTGACTCGCCAGAAAAGGCTAGAAAGCCTCCTATATAGTGTCACCCTTGTCTGTAGGAAGTTTCTTTGTATCTGGAAGCACTTTTTCAGAATTCCCCAGGTTTGTCTGAATACGTTTTCCTCTCTGGCCCATATTCCCCCAGGTCAGTTGGTAACCCAGAGGTGGCCACCAAGTGCTTTGCATTGCCCCTTCTAGTGACTGTGTCCAGACCAGGGCCAGTGATGGCAGAACATGCCAGTGGTTGTGGTCACCCCTCTTCCTTCTTGCTGTGCAAAACATTTGAGTCTTCTTGCACTCTTCTGGAGGGAGGAAGTGGTCTCACCACAGCTGGGATGACTGTTTGAGACAAGTTCCCCTGCTGGTCTCATCCTGCCCACAGACGGGACCTTGCCTGCTCCTGCCCCATTCCTCTCCTCTGCAGCCCTACTTCCTCTTCATTCTCCAGGTGAGATGGGGAAGCTTTGGTGATGTTCCTTTTTTCGTCACCCCTGACTTCCTTTTGGGAAGCCTAAGTCCTTGACAAACCTCATAGAATGTCTTGAGGGTGCAGGCGAGCATGCGGTTTGCAGGGGGACTCCCTGTTGTGCGTTTTCCCTACCTGCATGCCATCCTCCCCTTTTCCCAGGCCAGTGCTTCAGTGTTCAGTGATGACACATAATTCAGTGTGACCATCACAGGCCTTTAAAAAATGTTTTTCTTTGTGGGTGTGGGGGCCTGGGCACAGCGCCTGTTTTCCAAATTGGTGACCAGGACCAGTTGTTCAGTATATGGTTTGACAACAGCAGCAAATATTTGAACATGGGGCCATGATGGAAAAATCTGAGGGTTGCCTAATCATGGTAGGGCCAGAGACGGGGCCTTGGCCACGTACAGCCAGGGTTCTCAGTGCTGGCCAGTGGGCCACCCGCAGAACCTTTTCCTGCCTTCTTGATTGGCCAGAGCTCAAAGGGACTGAGTCCCTGCTGAGTATCAGCTCACTGCATAGTTAGTTCCTGAGCATCTCTTCCAGGCCAGCCATTGTTTTTTCTGCACTTCCAATATGTACAGTGGGCTTTGTTCCCAGGGCCCAGCCCAGCTCTACATAAACCTATTCAGGTACCAGGCTCTTTGGAGATGATGAGGCCAGGATTCTCCCTGCATTTGGACATGGAGTCCTGATAGAAACTTAGTGAGGTTGGAGGCCAAGAAAGGCATTCCTGTGTGGAGGGTTTTCTGCTCTATCCTGCCCCTCCTTCTTGCTATATTAGGCAGCTCTTTGGGAAGCTGTCCTCCATCCCCAGGCCCAGTTATCCTCCCACATGTTATGCTGGCACCTCAGAATTCTAGGCAAGGCTTTGGCCTGACCATATCCAGTTTTGTGCAATCTAAGCACCAGCTGCAGAGCTTGTCGCTGCCACTCATGGTTAGTGAACAGCCCTGTTTCTCTCTCAGCTGTGCCCCAGGCCAGGCTGTGAAATAAGTCTGTTCCGGTGCATGAGTCCCCTGGACAAATGACTTTTTGGTCTCTGTGCTCAAGCTATGCTTGTTTCCAAAGGGTCGTCTAGAATGAGTACTCAGAGTGCTGCCATGTAGCATGGCTACCTCTTTGAAGGGTGGCTGCCTTTCACAGTGACTTTTCTTCTATGCCCTAAGGAGATCTTGATCAAGACCTCTGTGGCGAGATCCACAATAGGAGAGTCCTATCCTTTCAGGGGTGCTGGAAATAAGTGGCCATGATTCCCACTCTTTATTTTTTTGCAGTGCTGGGGGATGGAACTCAAGGCCTTGTGTACACTAGCTCTGTTTGCAGCCCCTGGTCCTCACTTTTTTTTTTTAATACATTTATTTTATTTATTTATTTTTAATGTGGTGCTGAGGATCAAACCCAGTGCCTCACATGCACCAGGCAAGCACTCTACCATTGAGCCACAACCCCAGCCCCACTTTGATGCACCCTGTTGGAGGGGTTAAAGCCCCACTTAAGTATACATCTGCCCTAATAATACTCAACGCCAGCATGCCAACAGCTTCAAGCAGGAGCGCCTTCATGCCAGGTTTCTGGGACTGCTTTTGCAAATCCCTTCAAATTTAGTGACTTAAGACAACAGAAACTCATTCTCTCATAATTCTGGAGGTCAGAGTCCAAATTCAGTGTTGGTGGGCCAAGGTCAGGTGTTGGCAAGGCCACACGCCCTGAGGAGTCTCTTGGAAAGTCTGTTCTTTGCCTCATCCAGCTTCCAGTGGCTGTTGGCATCCCTTGGTTTGTAGCCAATCTCTCCTCTGTGGTTATCGCTTTGTCCTCCTCTGTGTGTGTAGAGTCTTCTCTGCTCCTCTTACAAGGATACTTATAATAGCATTTAGGGCCCACCCAGATGATTCCAGAATAATCCTCCCATCTCAAGATCCTTAACTTAATCATATTTGCAAAAACTTTACCATATAAGGTAACATTTGTAGGTTTCTAAATCTTTGGGATTTTTTTTTTTCTTTTTCTCCCTCCATCAGTTATTCTGGGCGATTCAACAGAATATGGTTGGAGGAAATATTAGAAAAAATAAAACCATTTTATGATCTTACATACCCCACTGAGGTGACACCAAAATACACCAGATACACTTACTTTTTTAAAAAAATTTTTAGTTGTAGATGGACACAATTCCTTTATTTTATTTATTTTTATGTGGTGCTGAATATAAAATCCAGTGCTTCACATGTGATAGGCTTTGTCTTTCGTCAGTGCTCTACCACTGAGCGACAACCCCAGCCCCCCCAGATACACTTAGGTTTGCCTCAAATTTTTTGATATCTTACAATGGACATACATCATTTTATAATTAGAAGAACCAATACTATTGCCAGTAGAGATCAGGAAGCACTAAAGACTGCTTACAAAATCTTGAAAAGCCTAAAATAGAAAATAAAAGTCCCCCTTTGACACAGAAGATTTTCCGCCCAGTCACACTGACCTCTATTCCTGCTACTCTGCCCCTGCCTCACTCTGTTCCCACCACCCTGGCCACCTAATGATTCTGAAACACCGGCCTTGCTCTGCCTCTGGTCTTTCCATTTGCTCTTCCCTCTGTCACTCCTACCTCACTTACCCGTGTGGTTTGCTCCCTTACCTCCTTCCTGTTTTTATTTAGATGTTACCTGTTCACTGAGGACCTCCCTGCCATTTCAAATCCTGTCCCCTCTGCCCAGTGTTCCTATCCATTTTGTTTGCCTTATTTCTCTTTTTAGCACAAATCACTATTTAAACTCTGCCCCCGATTAGAATATAAACTCAGGGGTCCAGGATATATCTGTTGTACACTGTTGTGTCCCCAGTACCTAGAACAGTACCTGGCACATTGTATGCATTCAGTAACTATTGAATGATGAATGATGTACACTGTGCCCATGTGCCCAGGGAGACACGAAGCAGAGGAGCACCCAGTATGAGGCAGACGAGTGAGGACAGGCCCCCTGATAACAAGACTGGGAATGGCTGTCAGGTGGACCATCTTAGTGGGCAGACCAGGCTTAGAGGCCAAGGGGTGAGTATGAAGAAGGAGCTAGAGATGGGTTTGCCTGGGCAAGACACAGAACCCCTGGGATGCAAGGTGAGATGGTGGTACCTATGGCCATAGAGTGGTGTTGAGACCAAGCGAGGCCTTAGCAGGAAGTTCCACAGAGTAGGCAACAGTGGTGTTCCTGAGCAGAGGTGGGGAAGAGCTGATGCCAGCGGCCACATTTTCATATCCTTTCTAAATCCTGTGCTCGCCCACATGTCCTCCTTCCACCCCTCACACATCCCAGAAAAAGGAAGATAGATAGACAAAGAGTCTGAGAAGAGTTTAGTTAGTAGCCAGGGGCAGGCTGTACATGGCTGTTTTTTCTCCTTCTCACCGCCCTTCTGTGAGCACAGTGTCTTCCTGGAGGAAGGGATGGGCACCATCTCCTTAGCTGTTGTCATCCCTCTTCTGTGGCCCCTGCCACCTTTCAAGGGATGACAGGTTTGTATGGGACTCAGCTTTGACAGAACTAGTCATTTTCAGGCTTGGTTTTGGCACCCTAGGAAGGGAGGTCGTGTGTGTCTGCTGGGTCCAGGTGGCTGAGGGAGACATGGGCTTCCTTCTCCCTTTTCAGCACTCCTGTAGCCATTTCAGAGGAGCTGATGTATGGAGGGGGGAGGGGCATGTGGAATAATTCCAGCTGCTTGGTTTCCAGAAACTGTCAGAGCTGGTGTCATCCCGAGAGCCTACACCATGGGCCTATAGGATATGCTGTCTGCCCTTGTCCTAAAGGAGGAATGGTGGGAATGGATCTCTGGATGTCCTCCCTTGTGATACTAGTATCAGGACAAGGAAGTTAGGATGGTTGTCTCACCCTGGTCGTGTTGCACAGCCTAAGAGAGGTCCTGGTCAGTGGGTAGCTGGGGACAGGAAGAGTCAGGAGGCTCAGTCCCCAGTGGCCCCCTCCACACAGCTGTCACACCCGGCAGTCTGCTCTCACAATCCGGCTCAGACTGCCTGCTGAGCTTCCCCTTAGCAGCTGTTGGGTGGTGAGTGGTGGTGTTTTCCCCTCTCCTCCCCCTCTCTGTTTGCAGCAACCTCTTGGGGGAGGCCAGCAGATCTCTTGGAGGAGACAGTTCCCAGACTGTCATGTTTTTCACGGTGCATGCACACAAGTCAGAGAAGAGCTGGGCCTGCTGCAGTGTTCCCTTCAGGCCCCTCCCTTGGAATTGAAGTAGGGATGTTGCTGGTGGGGAGGGATCTGGGTCCCTCAGCTTCCTTCCTTAGTTGGGGGGGGTCAGGAAGTGGCTCTACAAATCCCCCAACCCTTCCTCCATCTTGGGCCCCTGTCTTCATGCAGCAGGGGAAGGAAGATAGGGGATGAAGAGGCCTTCTTTGTGAAGGGCAAGCGGACCTAAGACCAGAAATGATAAGGCCAAGAGGGGTCAGAAATCAGGGCTGGGCTAAGAATTCTGGCTCCCTCCTTTCTGAAAAGGACTCGTGGCTCATTTATTCAGGAGGACTGTGGGGCCCCATTCTGTGTGCTGGAATAGATCAAGGAGCAAACTTGAGGTGCTGCTCTATACAGGAGACTCCTGCTTCAGTGGTGGTGGGGGTAGGAGGGTGTTGGCCTTTTTCCTATTTTACCAAGTACTGACTCCTCCCTGGATCTGTTTACTGTTTTCCCCAGGCTCCCAGGCCTGTGCTAGGCACACCGAGAATAAAGATTGCAGAGGTTCCCTGAGCTTGTGCCCTTTGAGAGCTGGTTAGGAAAGGAGGAACAGTACTTGTCCTTACCATTGAGAGCACCTGCAATAACTGTGGGTACAAAACCTATTTGAAAGCCAGAACAGAGTAGAGAGGCTGGCCCTGTTGGGGCATCAGGAGGGTTTCCTGGAGGATGTACACTAGGAAGGAGGTAGTGCCCGTGGTGGTCCTGCCTGGAAGAACACAACAGGAGGTTGATGAGCAGATACAGAAGGCGTCACAAGCCACCACCCCTACCCAGGAAACTCTCTGCTTCCTGGGCCTGCCTTTGAAACTGCTCAGTCTCATTGTATTTCTCCCCTACAGACACCCCTGTCCTGGCAAGAGCCAGAAGGTGAGCGGGCCAGCTCCTGCACACATAAGCGCTCAGCGTCCTGGGGCAGCACAGACCACCGAAAAGAGGTAATTGCCCTCTTGGACTCTCTGAATGGGCCAGCTGCCTCTGCTCCAAAGGGCAGCCACACTTTACCTCCAGTGTCACCTGTCTCCACCCAGCATTTTCTTAAGGAGATGGCCCTCAGTGCCTACTCTCAGCAGCCCAGATCCTCCTGCTAGGGAAAGATCAGGCCAGGGGCTGCTGGTGCCTTTTGGCAGCCAGGCACAGGGCCACAGATGCTGCTGTTCTCACTTTACATTTGAGGTTGGAGCCACATAAGTGGTTCAGAAACTGAAGGAAGATAGGGAACAAGTTCCAGGGAATTAGGAACTCCCAACCTCAATTACCACTTAACTATTCACTCATTTTGAAAAGAAGAGAAAAATGATTATGTGTTCCTAAATGCTTTGTTCTGGCCTTCCCTCTGCTTCAGGAGGACCCAGGACACCAAAGTTGAGTCTAGAGTCGTAGGCTGGAATTCGGGGCTCTCAATCCAGCTCCTCGACATGTCATGAGGATCAGCTTGCCAGGACTCACTCTCAACCCCTTCACAAAGAAAATTGCTCCTGTCCTCCTCATTGCTGAGAACAATGAGAAAGTATGATGTGAATGCACTGGAAGTTTAAAGCTAAGAGAGTTTAAGGCTAAGTTTAAGGCTAAATTAAAAAGTACTTAAAAGTCTTTAACGATCAGAGTACGCAAGTTACTCACACGAAGTGGGGAGTCATGTTATGAGTGATCCACAATGGCAAATCCACTTTTCTTCACAAGTTTTCTGGCTGTGGACAGCAGATCTCTCTGAATTCCCTTTAGGCTCACATTTCTACAACTCTGTATCCCGTGAGCATTTGCCAGCTGGGGGCAAGAAGGTCCAGCATTACAAATGTGACAAGAATAATATCCAAACTTGTTGATGATACTCTGTAATTGTGACAGGGTATGGAGTCAAGATGAAATGTGGTATGACTTCTAGAGAACCTATCTTTGCATGGTATAGTTTTAAAGGGGGGGAAATCTTTCCATCCTTCTCATCTCAGGACTGCTGGGGGTATTGAAAATGTATGGCCATTGACATTCAAAACAGTTTCCGCTATTAGTGGAGTAGTATGCCATGCTTTTGCAATCTGTAAGAGACAAAAAGTTCCAGTGTTGCATATTTTCAAATTGTTAAAGACTGATCTGTTTATAAAATACATAGTAATGTTTTAAGAATGCAAGAGTCTGGTTCATGAGACATCCACCTTGTTGGAGGAACTGATCTTCACAGGTTTTAACCACTACTGAGCTATTTTGAGATGGAAGATTAACTTCCATGTCCCTTTTATGTGTCTTTGGGCCTGTGACAGAGGACATACCTGGGAGGAGGGACCCAGTACATTTTTGTTTGGCTTCACTCGCTTCTGCTCTTCTTCTTTCTGGCCTCTAGATTACCAAGTTGAAGCAACAGCTGCAGAGGACAAAGCTGAGCCGCAGTGGGAAGGAAAAAGAGCGGAGCTCCCCGCTCCAAGGGGACCATGCTGTGCGGGGAGCACTGAGGGTATGTGTTTCCTCCCCAGACACAGTCCCCTCTGTTTCCCTCCAGAGTGGACTCTCCTGGTGGGCAGAGTTCTCTTGGGTCTTACGGCTACTGAGTCCCACCACATTGCATGCTTTATGGCCACATGGGGGACAGGTGAAGTTTTAGTCCAAACTTGGATTTATCTGAGTGACACTGGAAAGGCTTCTTGCTGTTCTCTACCCATCCCTGAGCAGTTGAGGCAATGACTCTAAAATCACACTCTAGACCCCAAAGTCTCAACTCCCAGAGGAAACGCCACCAAATGGGCCAATAACAATCTGTAACTGTCACCAAATTGTCCTTTATTCACTGGGTCCTGCTGTGTGGACACCATTACCCTCTGGTCAGAACTGATAGCTGGATAGGTCTCGGTGGATCTTCACCTAATTGTTTCATTTGCCACCCCTCAGGCGTCGCCTCCCAGCTTCCCCTCAGGGTCTCCTGTCCTGCGACTCAGCCCCTGCCTGCACAGGAGCCTGGAAGGACTCAACCAAGAGCTGGAGGAGGTGTTTGTGAAGGAGCAGGGCGAAGAAGAACTGCTGAGAGTAAGTGGCAGCTGCTCCTTGTATGCACCAACGGGTGGACAGGCGGTGTCAGGGGAGATGGGCGTGCCCGTCTAGGCCTCTCAGGCTCTAGCTGTGTAAACAAGAATGGACAAACACCTGCCTACCAGAGCAACACGGGGAGCTCATTAGTCTCAAGTGGACTTAAGCAAAAAGGTGGCAGAGGGGGTGGCTGTACCTGGGGAAGGCTTTGTGATGGTGAATAGAGGAAAGGAGCAAGGATTGGTAGAGGAGAGGGTCCCCAGCAGGAAGCAGCAGGCAGGACCTCATTCTTCAGCCACATTGCCAGCTCACTATTCCTTGAATCTTTGGCAACTTTACCCACTTGTACCTCAGTTCATGCCATTGCCCTGTGGCCACTTCCCTCCCTCCAGCTTAACCTGGTAACACGCATCCATCCTCATGCCCAGTTGCCCCTGTGCAGCCTTCTCCCTGCCCCACTCCCAGGCAGAATTCTGTGCTACCTTTTCTGCAGTCTCAGGCACATTTTTATACTGACACAGTACAATTGGGGAATGCCAGTTGGACAGTATTAATATAATTCTAATGGGCACACTCCTCGGTTTATGATTTACCTCCTGGTTTATTTTTAATTTGGAAATATGCAGGATTTCATATACACCAAAACACATGTGTACAATTTAGTGAGCTGCGGGTACAAGAACTGTTGATGTTTAATAAGGAGGGAGCAAATAGGTATTTATACATGATAATCGTCTGCATACTCACCCTGCGATGGCTTACAGCACATCTTGGTGCCCTGTCTCTTGTGAAGGAGCAGGGTGAAGAGGAACTGCTGAGGGTGAGTGACACACTCATAGAGCACTAAATGTCAGTGCTATATGTGTCCCCCTGAATATAGCACTCACCATTGTGTTCCCAGAGCCCTGCCCACGAAGGTCCTTACCCTCATAAGGCTTATACACTAATGGGGGGACACATTGATCGACTGCACAAATGAATATGTGATTATACACTGGACTGCCAGTGCTAGGAGGGAAAAGAACAAAGTGCCATGGGAGGAGAAATGGGGTTTCTTTAGACTGAGGGGAAATGGAGTTGAGGTCAGGGAAATCAAGATCTCGAGCCCATGGTTTTCTATTGTGTGTGTGTTCTGAATAGAGGCTGAAAGGAAGGATGTGGGGAGTACCCTTCGGGTCATTGCAGTGCTGTAGGCCTGAAAAGATCCTGCAGTGAGAGTCTCCCCTTCTTTCTCTGTCAGATCCTTGAGGTCCCTGATGGACACCGTGCTCCTGCTCCTCCCCAGAATGGCAGCTGTGATCACTCCCTCCTACTGCTGGAGCCAGGCAACCTTGCCAGCTCTCCTTCCGTGCCCCTGGCATCCCCCCAGCCTTCTGGCAGGGCCAGCCGTGAGGAGCACCGGGGTGCCATTGAGCTGGCATCTGTCCCCAGTGACAAAGGTAAGCCACAGAGCAGAGGCAGCAGGACTGACATTGGACTGCAAGAAGGGTATCTCTCCCTTTTCCCACCCAGGAGTTTTAGGCCCAGCACGATTTGTGAGCCAAACGTTAGTCTTTCATTCTGTACACTATACTAACAGTAATGTCCCTTTCATGACATTCTGATTTGTAATTTATAAATTCTGTACCTATACTTTACTGAATCTTCAGTGGAGTCCAGAAGAGCAATCCTTCCTGTCCCTACTTTTGGCTGAGGGTTAGAGTGCTATAGTAGGAGGCCAGCACATCTCCGTTCGGGTGTCCACACTACTTGTTACCAGCATAAGCCTTCAGGGTGACTGGAAATGATCAAAAAATAAGAGAATGTGGTCCAGGGCCCAGTTTGACCAGACTGATATATGAACTTTCTGATTCCAAAGCCTGACTTTCTCCTGTGCCCTGACTTCTCATGGGGAAGAAGAGATAGGATTCCTGCCTCCTACTAATGATCCATATGTTATAAAGCACTGTGCCTACATCCCCTGATTTGATTCTCCCAGCCACTTCATGAGGTAGGCTGGTCAAGGGCACATGATGTAGGCTGGATTTCTCAGGGACAGAATGATCTAACAATACACATAGGTAAATAGAGCCACGAGTAACAAGGAATAAATGAGGTAAATGCAGATAAAGTGAATATTTGTAACCTAGGCAAAGTACAGTCTCTAGGTATAAAATAAGAAGAATTTTATCCTCTGATAAAATTTTATCCTGTGTAAAGGTGGTTCCTCAAAGTTAGTACAAGAGTGCTCCCTGCAAGGAGGGATGTATGTTCCAGACTGCAACAAGGAGAAGTCCTGGCATGCTGGCAGGTAGGGACAGTCAGGGGCATCACAGTCTCAGGAGAAGGCAAAGAGGGATGCCATATAGGATTCCTCTACCTCCAGTCTTCTTCTACCTCCCAAGAGTACAGTATTATAAGACCTTCTTTTCCCATCAACTCCACTGTTCTTGTATTCTGTCATATGTTATGTATGTTTGTAAGCTACCTCAAAGGCTTTTTAATGTGAATATGAAACAGAGCAGCCTGGTTAGCATAACCACTACCACCTACTTTATCACGTACCTCCCAGCCTCACCCCTTTACACCCAAGGTCTGAGCTGAGGAATGCAGTAATGTCCCTTTCATGACATTCATTTCATGTCCCTTCTGGGACTCAGCCTTACTTTGTTTGCAGCCTATTCTCCAGGTCACCCAGCCTTCCTTGAAGATGGCAGCCCATCTCCAGTCCTTGCCTTTGCTGCCTCCCCTCGGCCCAATCACAGCTATGTCTTCAAACGGGAGCCCCCAGAAGGCTGTGAGAGAGTGCGCGTGTTTGAAGAGGCCACGTGAGTTCATCAAGTGGATGGGGTGTGGGAGGGAGGGACAAAGATGGAGGTCAAGCCCTATGTTATCCCACCTGCCAGGCCCTTTTCACTCTTGCACTCTGTCTTGTCTAGAGGTGTTGGCAACATCAGATTTTCAGTATTGCAGTTTTCTCATGATCAAACTTGTTGACATTACCTACTCTGAGCACTTAAATCTTTGCTTATCATTATCTCCATAGAAACCTGTTCTCTGCCCACATGCCAGCCATAAGCACAGCAGGAGCTGAAAAGGAAAGATATCAGAAACTTCAGCCCTTTGTTTCTTCCATTTTTATTTTTTTATCCCTAGGGAAAGTGTGAGAATTTGCTAAACCATGATCAGAGAGAGGGAGAGAGAGAACATACTAATAGTTCTTCACCCTGTGGCTGTAATGGATCAAGTATCATGAACTTGCAGACAGAAAGTTCCAGACCTTGCAAGTAAGGACTGTGGAATATTCCCAAACCAGACTGGATAGTTCAGAGGCCATTCTTTTGTGATTTCTTTACAGTTCCTCCTGTTAGCAGAAGATTGAGAGGTCACCTTCCAAAGGTACACACAGAACCCCTTAGCAGGCCCCATAGAGGGCCTCTGGTTTCTCCTGCAGCTTCATATCCATCAGGGCAGATTCACATTGGAAGTCGTGGTTTCAGTGGCAGTCAGGGAGTTCAGTCATGGTGTGTGAGTGAAGCTTTAGCTAGGACTGGGTTCTGGGCATTGAGGGTACCATTTGTATCTCAAACAATAGAGAAGACAACCCATGAGGGTAGGAGTTTGTTCCTGCTGTTGCTGTTGCCTGGTGTCCTTTAAGAATGAGGTGTTGTGGAAGCAAAAGGCCAGCACTTACAGCTTAAGCAGATCTCAGGCTCTTGTGTCCTCCGTCACTCCATGTTATAGGTTAATAGTCACATCCTGGAAATGCTGGTAGAAATTAGGCTATTGCATGTCCTGATTCTTTCACAGACTCATAATGCCGGAAGTAGTCTTCAAGTCATCTCATCTAGCTTTCTGCCTCTGCGTTACCCCTGTAAGAGAGTGTGACTGATCCGTTGTTTTCTAAGACATCCTGGGTCTGAAATTCTGTAGCTCATGAGGTCTCTTCATTTCACCATCTTTCCTTTGGGGAGTTCTCGTGTACAGTGAGTTTTTTTGGCGACATTTTCCTCTTCTTAGCTGCTGTCTCCTCTGAGATCGCTTAGATTTCTCAGGGAGGGTATCTGGCTGCTCAGGGTTATGCTGGTTGCACTCATGTTCTTTGTTGCTTGGTCTCCCCTAGTCACACACCAAAAACATTCCCTCTTCTGCCCATTCCCCACTCCTCCATAAAGAGGGGTTCTTTTAAATCCTTCTCTGGTGGGAACAGCTTGCCACTGAAGTCTCCGGTCCCACAGGCCTTCCCCTGGCACAGTGGCCTATCACGCCTGCCACCTCTTCCCACTTTGTGCCAGAACTCTGCTCTTCTTCTCCCATCTCACTCTTCTTCTTAGGCCTTGGAATTATTAGGATTCTAGGATTAAAATGGAAAATAATGTATCAATTTTTACCCTAAGTGTGTTTTTCTTTTTTCTTTTTCTTTTTTTTTTTTTTTTTGCTGTGCTGGGGATTGAACTGAGGGCCTTGTGCATGGGAGGCAAGTACTCTACCAACTGAGCTAGATCTCCAGCCCCCTAAGTGGGTTTTTCCATGTATATTTTCCTTCAATCAAAAGAACCAGTAAAGGGAACCACTAGTGATGGAGCTCCATCATCTTCCCACACCTTTGTCTTCTCACTGGGAGCCTCACAGCCAGCAGCTTCTCAGGGCTGCTTCACTCCAGACACTTTTTATCATAAGGATTCCTTACTCAGGAGCTCACTGAACTCACCTCTTTTCATCCTTCCATTTCTTCCAGTGGTCAGAAGGGAAGAGATGATTCTTCCCACTTTAAAGGTGAGACGTGGGGAGTCAGAATCCAGACCTTCTGAGAAAGTCTAACAGCCTTTCTCATAGTTGTTGCTGTCCTTTCCTCCCAGTGAAAGTTTTTGATAATCCTACCTTCCAAACCTGCTCAAGAATTAGAATCTTCAGGACAATTATTTCAATGGGAGACATATTTGCCCTGAGGTAGATATTTGACAATGTTAAGAGACATTTTTAGTTGTCATAAGTGTGTATGAAGGGGAAAGAACATAGTACTGTGGGTATTGCTACTGTCCTGGGCAGAGGCCAGGAATGCTGTTAAACATCCTGCGATCTCAGGACAGTGCTTTCCCACTCTCGCCTCTGCAAAAAATTATGCAGCTCAAAATGTCAGAAGCACTAAGGCCAAGAACCCTGCTTTAGGCTATAAAGTCTTAGAATGGTCACTGTGCCTAGATCTCTGCCTTCAGGCATGTGGTCTGCCCCTCAAACACTACTCCCTGGAGAAAATTTTCCAATGAAAAGATCCCTTGGTCTCCTAGAATCACATTACTGGGAACTGTTCCTCCTATTTCTAGCTAAATTGTGTTTCATCTGTTTAGCCATATTTTTAAAAAATAGAGAGCTGAGGAGCCTAAAGACTATAGCCTTTCATTTTTTGATCGATCAAGTTACTCTCCTGTTTGAGCTGGGTGCAGTGACATCCCTGCAACTTGGGAGGCTGAGGCAAGAGGATCACAAGTTCAAGGCCAGCCTGGGCAATTTAGAGCTTCTCAAAATTAAAAAGGGTTGGGGATGTAGCCTTGTGGTAAAGCACCCTTGGGTTCAATCCCCAGTGCCATTTAAAATAAAAAAGCTAGGGCTGGGGATGTGGCTCAAGTGGTAGCGCGCTCGCCTGGCATGTGCAAGGCTTGTGCAAGGTTTGATCATCAGCACCACATAAAAATAAAATAAAGATATTGTGTCTATCTAAAACTAAAAAATAAATATTAAAAAAAAATAAAAAGCTACCATCCTGTTTGAGCAGAGACCCAGCTCCCTGGCTGCTGGCAACCTCTCTCACTGGCCACTTTTCTGTGTGTTTGTATGTGTTTGTCTCTCTCCATCCTCCAGGTCCCCAGGTCCTGACCTGGCCTTCCTGACTTCCTGTCCTGACAAGAACAAAGTCCATTTCAACCCGACTGGCTCAGCCTTCTGCCCTGTCAGCTTGATGAAGCCACTTTTCCCTGGCATGGGCTTCATCTTCCGTAACTGCCCCTCAAGCCCGGGGTCTCCCCTTCCCCCTGCCAGCCCCAGGGCACCGACTCGGAAGGATCCAGAGGCCTCCAAGGCCTCCCCACTGCCATTCGAGCCATGGCAGCGCACCCCACCATCAGAAGAGTCTGTGCTTTTCCAGAGCTCCCTGGTGGTTTGAGGGGACCCCCCCCAACTTTACCATGGAGACCAGTGCCTTGGTGGCAGGCCCCTCTCTAGCTCCCCAAGCAGGGGGATGGAGGAGCCCTTCCCTCTCGGCCTTCGAGCACTTTCACTTATTGTGTCAAAGCCCCAGGTCCTCTTTCTGATGGACACCAGCCCCTCCAAATGTGAGGGGACTTGCCTTCTCCTTTAGCAGCTGGGCAGCTGACAACTCACACCTGTGTACCTGCCGCTTCCCTCACTCAGTGGAAACTCACCCAAGAAGGTCTTGAGTTTCCCACCCCAGGATGCAAGTCCAAATGACTTATAGGAGGCTCCTGTTGTGGTGGAGTAAGCTGGCTGTGATTGAAGGAGAGGGGAAGGCCAAGTTCAAATCCCTCTCCACCTCCAGAAACACGGAAGAGCAGCCCAGAAGGCAGACACCCCAGCTCCGTGCCTCCCTCTCTTTGGAGGAGCTGACCAAAGCGGCCCTAGAGGGCCACAACACTTGACCAATTCAGCTGCTGGCAGAGGGAGGAACCAAGTATTTCCCAAGTGGCATTTTCATCTCACTTTCACCCTGACTAAAGATTGTCTTAAGCAGCAGCCCAGCCCCAGGTGGGTGGCAGGGGAGAGGGAGGGCTGGCATTCCTCCAGGTGGCAAGTGGTGACTCTACACCCTCCACCTGCCCCAGGGCTGGGCTGGATTAGAAAAATGCCTATTTTTCTTGTATCAATGTAGAAACTCTATTTTCTCCCAAAGACACTATTTTTGCAGCTGTTTGAAGTTTGTATATTTTCCGTACTGCAGAGCTTACACAAAATTGAAGAAGAATGTTAATGTTCCAAGTTTTCTTATCTTGTGTTTAGAGATTTTTTTTTTTTTTTCAGATCTTGGTGTTAATAGACCAAATAAATCAATACGTATTCCCAGCAGCTTGAAGTTCTGTTTAAATACCTGTGATAGGAGGAGTGGGGCTGAGATACAGGGTACCATATTCATCACTTGGTCTTGTCTTCAAGAGAAGGAGCCCTTACTTAATATATAACTAGTGGGCTTGGGTGCTGTATGAATTCTTCCCAAGAATAACAACAACAACAACAAAAAAAAACAGGTCCAAGAAAAATCTTTCCAGAATGGTGTGTCCTGGAGGTGGGGTGCGGGAATCATTAGGGAAATTACCTGTTTCTCTATGAGTCTAAGCCGAATGGGTTTCAGAGAGGAAAGAAGGTGACCAAGGAAAGACAGTATGCCCTTGCACTGGCAAGGGGGACAAGACCAGGGAAGACTATTCAGGTGGACTCCCATGGCACAGTAAAGAAGGCTTTGCTCCCATTGGGTATTCTCAGTGAGTACCCCCCAGCACAGTGTGCAACCTTAGAGAATACAAAGAAACCGTCCTTGCCCTTTTGCAGTCTCTCGGTCCAGTGCTGCACCTGTAAGAGTTCTGAGGCTTTTGGTGAAAATTTGAATAATCACCAAACATTCTGACAGTGCTTTGGAATTCACAAAGCATTCTCACAAAGGACATCCCCACTGCATAGATGGAAAGTTGACAACCGGAAGGAGAGTCACAATAATGATATAAATAACTCTACCTATCTCAGGCCACTTGTAACTACCATTCATGGGCTTGGTAAAGCAGCAGATACCGTGTTAGGTGCTTCATATGAAATGCCATCAAAATATGACAACCACCCAAGGAGAGAAATGTAATAAGTCCCATTGTACTGATGTGGGAAGGTCAAAAAGATTGAATAACTTTTCCCAAAAGACAGACACATAGTGGGGGAGCTAGGATTGGAAACCTGATCATTTGAATTCATTGTCCATGCTTCTAATGACAGTGCTCTCCTGCTTGTTATTATATTCCCATTAATTTTACATGAGGAAACTTGACTCAGAGGTCAGGTGAATTGTTTGAGGTCCCAGCTGGCAAAGAAGCAGAGCTAGAACTAGAACTCAGGTCTGGTCCCAGCTCCTGTTTGGTTCCCAGGAAGTGCCACCTGATTCAGTGGAGTAAGCTAAGAGGCAAGAGAGCAAAGGTGTGGGGACCCCTGTCTCCCACCCATAAAAAGAGCTGGGGACAGACCCTGTATTCTATCTACTACTCCTCCCACTCCATGAAAGATATCTGGCTTGCCCCCAAAGCCTTAGTGAGTCAGGCCCCAGGCGATGGGTGTGGTGCTGCCCAGCGTTTCCTTCCTTTGCCTGAGGTGGTGCCAAAGGAATAAGCTGCTAGAGAGAAGCTCAGAGTCCAAGGGACCACCTGAGAATTGGGCCAGTTGTTAAGTGGAGGGTTGGGGGTGGCAGTGGAAAGACCTGGTGTCAGTCTTGCCCTGGCAATTCTGTTCAGCGGGTGGAGATCTAACCCTTGGATGCGGGGTGGGGGGGGGGGAGGTCCCAAGAGGGCTTAATAATGGTGGGAAAGAAGCTGGGGGGCAGCCAAAGTATTTGCTCCATTGTTGGTGAGCTGGAAGGCCTTGAAGAAAATTCACTTCAATAAGCTTGCATTTCCACCTCCAGGATGTGATGAAATAAGATCGGAGTTGAGAAACAGTAATGACCAATAATATCTTAAATTTCCACATCACAATTTACAGTTTTTTTTTTATTGTTGGTTGTTCAAAACATTACAAATTTCTTGATATATCATATTTCACACTTTGATTCAAGTGGGTCACAATTTACAGTTTATAAAACACTTTCATAAACCTCAGCTCATTTGATCCTCAGGACAGTGAAGGGGCGACAACGCGGCTATTACTAATTATCTCTAGTTTTCTGAACGTGGCTCAGAATTTAGGCTACATGTGTAGGATGCCCGGATCTAAAGTGACAAGAGCCCTGACCCACCGCTTTGTAAAGAGCCCTGCTCCTCTAAGCCAGGCCTTGAACGCTCTGGAGGAGTCCGCTCGAGTTGCTGACGCTACGTAGCAGCTAGAGGGCGCCAAGGCTCCACCTGCTTCTTGGTGTTAGGACCCAGCAGAAGCCGGGCTGCAGACCCGTAGAAAGACTATTCGATGGGCTCCGCCGGCGCCCCTCCTCCTTCCCCGCCCACCTGTCTATCTTCACGCAGTGCAGCCAATTGGTGACCTCCACATCCTTATACGTCATCATCACACGCCCGGGTATCTCCCAAGCCACCCCGGTGAGCTCCGGGTTGCAGTTGTCTTCGGAATTGCCTGGTCAAAAGAATCTCTTTAGCGAGGCGTTAACCTTGCGAATTCCTACTCCTCTGACCACCAGGAATGGAGTCAAGGTCTCAGCGTCGCTCTTCTTTCCTAGAAGGCGGTCGCTGGGTTCTAAGGAATTTCCCTCTCGGCAGCCCTGAGCTGGCAATTCTGGAGGTGACTTCTGGGGCCTAGTGAGAGGCGGTCGCATGCAGCTCCTATGAGGCCCCTGCCGCCGGTCGGCGATGTCCGCCTGGAGTTGTCGCCTCCGCCGCCGGTGCCGTTACCGGCTGTGAGCGGGTCTGTGGTCGGCTCGTCCGGGCGTCTCATGGCCGCTAGCAAATCTCTGGTGCCCGACCGGCTGCGCCTGCCGCTCTGCTTCCTTGGTGTCTTTGTCTGCTATTTCTACTATGGGATCCTGCAGGAAAAGATGTGAGCGGACCCCCGGGGAGGGAACGCAGACATTCCCCCTCACCCAGTCCTCTCTGCCCAGCCTGCGTTCCAGTTCTCAGACTTTCATTTTCTGGCCCTGGGCTTTCCTCTTGTTCTTCCGCCTGGCTCTGGCCCTCCTAGTATTCCGCTACGTATGTATCCCCAGCTGAGCCACCCGCTAATTCCAAAACACCAGAGTTGGCCTCTGGATTTTCGGTACCTGGTTAATTTTCTTCCTTTAGTGTTTTTGCTCTTGCTGGTTTCAAGAACCTGGAACTGCTGGGCGTGGTGGTGCACGCCTGTAAGCCCAGCGGCTGGGGAGGCTAAGGCTGGAAAATCCCAAGTTCAAAGCCAGTCTCAGCAACTTAGCGAGACCCTGTCTCAAAATAAAATAACAACAACAATAACAAAAAACCTGGAACTTCTACCCCAGAGCAGGTTTCCTTGACCTGAACCAGCTGCTCTTTGAAACTCCCAGATGCTTGCACCCAGCCTGTTCTTTTGCTCTCGGCTTTGCTGTCTAGCGCAAATACTTCTGCCTGGGGTACTTCGTTTCACTGTCAAATTTTACTTGTGTCCTTTATCTCTCTCCTTTATGGATATTATTTCCTTCGACTGTGGGATACTGAGGTGCCTATTGTCTCGATCCAATAAAATCAACCCCTTTTGTAAATGAGCCCAGTGATCCTCACAGACATTTTCTTCCTACATCCAAAGAGGAAAGATAACTCCAAAGCCTTCAGTGGCTCTGGACACACTAGATGAAATTGAATGAAGTATACTAATTTCCCCCTTTTTTTTCTCATGCATTTTATTTTTAGAACAAGAGGAAAATATGGGGAGGGAGCCAAACAGGAGACGTTCACCTTTGCCTTAACCCTAGTCTTCATCCAGTGTGTGATCAATGCTGTGTTTGCCAAGATCTGTGAGTACCTAAATAGTAAATTGTTGAATGTCCCCCACCTCCTGCCACCCTGGGCATTAGGCATTGATTCACCTTAAATTTTACTTTTTCAAACTCCACCCACTTTAGTAATCACACAACCTCTCTGCAGTCTGTAAAACTAATAATTTTGAAATGAGATTAAATATTATTTCCTTACATAGCCCAACTTTTGAGTTAGAAATATGCAGAAAGTGGATCTTTTGTGTTCTAAATCCCTATTGAGAATACTTGAAAACTTTTTTTCCTTTGGCCCTTTGACTTTCCTTTGTGTGTCATCTTCAAACATGTTTTGAACTTTTTTTGTTTCCAGGAGACTAGCAGCAGGGCTAAGTCCTCTCTTGAATGGAATGAGATCCCCATCTCCACCCAACATGTCATCTTGTGTTAGGATCAGGTGGAATTGGGGAGTTGAATAATTTTCAGCGATTCCTCAGTCTAAGAAAATAGAAATAGTTTGGCAAATTCCTTTCATGCAGCTTCAACTTTTGCTTAGTGGTCCATCCTAGCCCCACCAGGTTTCTCTTGTATGTTTTTTTTTCTTCTTCTTCTCCCAGTGATCCAGTTTTTTGACACTGCCAGGGTGGATCGTACTCGGAGCTGGCTCTATGCTGCCTGTTCTTTGTCCTATTTGGGTGCTATGGTCTCCAGCAACTCAGCACTACAGTTTGTCAACTATCCAACTCAGGTGAAACTTCAGGGTGGGATGAGTGTTGGCTCAGAATTGTTTGAAAAGAACTGAGGGGGCTTCTGTCATGTCTGTGACTTAAATAAAAAGAAACAGCCTTGGGAAACAGTATTTGAGAAATTCAGAGTATAAAACCTGGAGCTAGGGTATAGTGGTGGGTTGGGCAATGACAGGGCTGCTTTCTGAGGCTAATGTGCCCCATGTAAGCCCTTTGCTTACTTAATGTGACATGCAGTATGGTTCCTGGCATGTCATAAATGCTCAGAAATTATTTGCTGAATTTAATTTCAGGTCCTTGGTAAATCCTGCAAGCCAATCCCAGGTAAGCAGAAGAAGATGATCTCCATCTTCTGTCCTCACTTTTCCTGGAATAAGCTCACTTTTCCTCTGCCAGAGAGATCTGTGTCTCTCTGGATTTCATCATACCTTTCTCCAAAGAGTTTCCTTCAGTCCTTCTCCCTGCCCATCTAGGCATCTTTGCCATTTCCTGTGGTGTGTACCGGCTGGTAAACCTCAGTGCAAGCTGGAGACTAGCCTAGTCAGCTTCACGTGGTCAGTCATTTTGGTGTCCATGTGTTTACATTATTATTACATATCCTAAGTCCCATTTTGCTCATCAGTTTCTTTTTCTCAACCCCTCATCTTTCCCCACTGTTTCCCACTCATGCTGCATTTCTTCCCATAACTTTCACCTTTGTCCTCTACCTTTTCTCCGCCTTATACTCTACTCAAGCTTGTTGCTCAATCATCTTTATCTAGGTGCCAGCTTGGCACCCCTCCTCTCATTTTCTTTAGGACTTCTTTCTCAGACATTCTTTTCTTCCTGAGTCTTTTCTTGGCTCCTGGGAGGAGGGTAACTGGGGTAATTGATGCCTGTGAGTACCTGAATTTTCCTCTCTGTTTTTTTCCCTGTAGTCATGCTCCTTGGGGTGACCCTCTTGAAGAAGAAGTACCCATTGGCCAAGTACCTGTGTGTGTTGCTAATTGTGGCTGGAGTGGCCCTTTTCATGTACAAACCCAAGAAAGTAGTTGGGATGGAAGAACACACAATCGGCTATGGAGAATTACTCCTGGTATGCAGTCCTGGGGAGGGCAGACTTTTCTGGCAAAGTTAACCAGAGGACAGCCCTACTTTGGAGACAGAAGGCTAGTTACATGTCTTGAGAAAGGTTGTGGTACTCCTTGACCTCCATTTTTGGGCTCTGCTGAACCCATGATGGGAAGCCTGAAATATTTAACTACAGCTTCTGGGGAACAGTTAACTCTGAGGTTTGTGTCTAGATCATAATGTGAGGTCATGGAGACCTGAGAAAAAAGGAATAATGTAGCTCTTACTGTGAACTTCCAAGCAGTGTGGAGGCCAGGGTTAAAAATAATACACTGGGAGCTATTGCTTATGTGTTAGGGACCATTCCAAATCTTTTACATATTAATTGATTTTTACAACAATCTCCTAACACAGGTAATATTTTACAGATAGTGAAACCGAGGCTTGTTGTCCATGCTATTTAAATGGTGGAGTCAGGATTCCAAACCAGGCAGTCTGACCACAGAATCCATTATTTGAAGCACTGTACTTCAAGCTAGGAAACTAACCTGATGGGATTAGAGTTTTCCAGTTTTAATGAAAGCTCTACTCTATTATAGTTCCATTCTACAGCTCAGTTAGCCTGTCAATTCAGTGCCTGGGGGACGGACATCATCTCTGCCCACCTTCTACCCAGGACCAAATGACATCAGTGTTCCTAGGTCTCTGTCCTGGGGTAGTGGCTTTTTGAGGAGCCCTGAGGATAGGAATCCTGTGTCCTGAATTAGGGAGAGGACTTGGTGGTTGCATTGCAGGTTGCTCCCTTTCTTTCCCAGCTATTGTCTCTGACCTTGGATGGACTGACAGGTGTTTCCCAGGACCACATGCGGGCTCATTACCAAACAGGCTCCAACCACATGATGTTGAACATCAACCTTTGGTCGACATTGCTTCTAGGAGCTGGTAAGGAGCAGTTCTGCTATTCTTTCCATGTATCACCAGAGGGCAGACTGCACTTGTCCAGTTGATCCTATCTCTGCTGCCAGTTGCTTACTTTGTGCAGACCAGTGCTTGGTTCCAAGATGCCCTTCTGTCTAAACCCTGAGAAACCTTCCTGGAATGACCTGCACTAGCAGGATTTGCTTACTACCTGTCACTAATGCAACAGGGGGTCTCTCTGTGTGTCAGATATCATGGGAAGACACACATTGTAAAACACATGGAAGTACCTGGGAACTTTCCCTCTTAGAGGCAAACAAGATATTGGAATGGTGTTCATAGGAAACAAACAGGTATACACTGAATGCAGTTCAAATGTGAGTGCATTTTTCTCCCCTGGTACTGGGGATTGAACCCCAGGGAAACTCTACCACTGGACTATATCCCCAGCCCTTTTTATATTTTTAAACAGGGTCTCACTGAGTTTCCCTGGCTTATATTTTGCTTTGAAATGATTGTTTCCTAATTTTTCAAATCTGGGCACCTGTAGAAAGTATTTTTTGTGTAGCACATCAGGTTAATGGAGGAGGCTAGAGGTGGCTGGAGGTGACTAATGCAAGGAGCTTCTTTGAGTGAGAGGTGTATGGGTCACTATCTCCACAGCACCCAAGGATCTTTGCTGCCTCCAATCACTGGAGTGGAAGTAACTCCTTAACTTTCAAGCCTTTCTCACCAAATCAAGTCTTTAGTTAGTTTTTCTAATCAGAAAACAAAACAAAAACATGAGAAAGATGCATGACAGGCAATATAAAGGCACTACATGTAGTTTTCCATACTTATCCTCCTTCATAGTACTGGAGCAGACCATGCATAGGTGTGTGTGCCACATAAGATGTGCCATTTATCTTTCACTGTTTCTTCTTAGGAATCCTGTTCACTGGGGAGCTCTGGGAGTTCTTGAGCTTTGCTGAAAGGTACCCAATCATCATCTATAATATCCTGCTCTTTGGCCTGACTAGTGCCTTGGGTCAGGTGAGTTCTTGAGAGGGGATATCTTGGCTTCCTTGTGGTAGTGGCTGGTTCCTTAGGAAAGACTGGCCTGGCTGAGATAAGAAATGTCAAGATTAGCCCTGATGTCTGTTACTTTAGACCTAATGGTAAGATACCTAAGAATCAACCTGAGCCACCTTTCTCTCATTCTCTAGAGCTTCATCTTCATGACAGTTGTGTATTTTGGTCCCCTGACCTGCTCAATCATCACGACAACTCGGAAGTTCTTCACTATTTTGGCCTCTGTGATCCTCTTTGCCAACCCCATTAGCCTCATGCAGTGGGTAGGCACTGTGCTTGTGTTCCTGGGTAAGTTCCATCCAGAGAAGACACCTCTCTTGGCTACACAGAGGGGCGATGACAGAGCTCTTTATGTTTTTTCCCCTAAAATATATTTATGTATTTGAAAATTTAGCTGTTTTAGAGAAAACTTTCTCAAAAGAGAAAAGGAAGCATTATTTCTAATGTATTCTTCTTAGTGTGCTGTTCTTCAGTGGTCTCCTTCCACTGACTTGATTTACCCAGATCCTGAGCAAGACAAAATTATGCTATTCCCTACTAACATGTGATGACATAGATGAACTGAGAAAACTATCTTAGACATTCTGACTCAACTTTCTTTCAGTCTTGCTATATGTACACACACACACACACACACAAATATGAACATGTGAACATGCATGCGTGCACACACACATATTTGTCATTACCAGTATCTTGGTCATTTTTTTTTGTTTGTTTGTTTGGTGCTATTCTGTTGTCTCTGAGAAAGTTATGTAGAACCAGTGTTCTGAAATTCAGTTTATTTAAAGTCCCCATTTGGAGAACCAAGACTAACTCCCCAAAATCATTGGTAGGTTTTGTGTCTCCCCATGAAGCTAAGTCCATTTTCTCCTTTCCATAGGTCTTGGTCTTGATGCCAAGTTTGGGAAGGGAGCAAAGAAGACAACCCACTAGGAAGAGAGAGACTACCTCCACTCCAAGAATACTTAAGTTATTATCTCCAACAGTGACATCTCCTGGGAAAATGGACTTAGTAGTGATAAGGAACTGGGTTCCAGATTTTGTTTGTTTTTTGTTTTTGTTTTTTTTTTTTTTAATCAAAGGAAGCAAAATCACATATTCTAAAAAAAGCTCTTGGATTTTCACAAGATGAGTGGGCAGTTTCTGTTCTTGATCAACTGGGGCATAGTCTAGTACAAATAAAAAGAGAAGGAAGAGGCAGGGGTCTGCTCGCATCCCACTCTGCCCCTGGCCGCTCTCTTAGGTGTGGGTGGCATGGTTGTCCAAGTTATTCCCCAAGAGTCTGAGCATGATAAGGTAGAACCTTGAGAGATTGTATGATTGTATGGCTGTGCCAGCAGTCTCTGTTCCTGTGGGCAAAGCTCTGAATATGCTATGACAGGTGGCTGTTTTGTTATAGCTACAGATGTAGGCATCACTTCTTAAGTTTGGGTGGGCAAGCATGTCATGAAAAACCGAAGGTATATTCTCTCCTTATGAAGTACCTCAAGGTTAGGGTTAAATGAACCCAGATTCCCAGAGTTTGCTAGTTTTTCTCTTTTCCCCACTGCCTCTCTCAGCCAAAGCATGACAGAGAGACCCCATGCATGTAAAAAACATAAACAGCTTTGGAAAGTCTGTGAATGTACTTTTCCTATTCCCTCCCTCCATCTCTCCGTCTGTTCTCAGTCCACCTGGTCCCCTCCAGGGAGGCTGGATTAATCCCTCCTATTCCCCTGCCCCCCTTCAGCTGCGAAAGCATTGCAGTCCTCTGCCATCCTGGCTGTGCCAAGGTGTCACCATGCCAGCTTCTGCCTGTTGAAAGGGATGCTGGCGGAAGGCATGGTGGCTGAGTCCTGGCACAGAGCCTCTGTAGAGTTTTCTGGGTGGTAATGGGGGGATAAGGCGGAGCATGGAGCAGAGCCACCTGCCCACTGCTGCCTTCAGAGTTGGAAATCACAATCCTCCAAGGACCAAACTTTACACATGAAAGTGCATTTCCACCAGCTGCAACTTTCCCTCCATCTGTTCAACAGCCCCAGCCCCTTGGCTCTCCAGATGGGAGCGCGGCCTCCTTCCTGAGCACTGCCTTGGCACCCCTCCTCCCCCTGACTTTCAAGCCCTGCCTCACTTGCACTGATCTTGCTCCCTAGGGGCCAGGGTTTCACTGCAGCCCTGCCTCCCCAATGGCTCCTTCCCCCATTTTTAACTCTTCCTTGAGAAGTTTTAAGTACATCTGGCTGAACTAACTTCCTTTCTCCACCCTTTCCCCTCTGTTTTTTCATCCTGAAGGTTTCATCATTTGGCTTCTTGCCTGCTAGACTGATAGTTCTTCCAGTGTCTTCTGGAGATTAGTTAGATGGTTAGATCGAGTTACAGGGTCAGGGCTGACAAGCAAGCATCATCCAAGCCTGCTGTTTAAACAAGAGACATCTTCCTAGCTATCAGACTTGGCCCTTCCACCTCTTCCCTCTGCCATTCCCAACTAGCTGTCTCAAAAATGCCTAATACTAATCACCAAGAGCAAAGACCGGGTGACAGCAGCTCAGCACCCTGGAGAGATGGCTCACAGGGTAAGCCTGTTCTACCAGTGGTGGCTGGTCCTGTTCTAATGTGTTCACTCAATCTCTTGTCCATTCATCCAACATTTATTTCCTTCTGGATGCCACCCACTGTGAGCATGCTGGGAGTTCAGTTAAGTAGAACTAGTACTTACCCTCTAGGGGGCTCACAGTCTAATTGGGAGATAGGAAAACCGGATCACTGCTTCTCAGAAATGCAGGGATAACAACGAAGGAAGGTGTCCAGGCAAGGTGAGGTTTGACTGGAAAGTGTAGGAAGGTGAAAGTAGCAGATGGAGCTTGGCAGCATTGCCAAGCAGGAAAAGGGTTTTCAACTGCCTGACTGCTCCCCCTTTTACCCCTCTGGTCAGTTCCAGTGAGAACACATGGCAGGACAATAGTTTTCATTACTCAACGTGAAGATAATCTGAAAATGTTTTGTAAGCTGCCAGCTTATCCCGGGTGACATACTTACCTGTAGCATCACAGGGACCGAGAGTGCCAGATTTGACTAAAATCGGTACCACTGTAAGCTTGTAACATTAGGGCTGATAAATGTGAAATACCAGACAAGTTCAAACAGAAGCGTTGTTGATCACTAACCCTGGGCGGCCTGATGCCTCAGGTTTCTAAAGATCAAAGGACTTTCATCTGCAGTTAATTCTCAGCTATGTGCAGAAGGGAGGGAACCAGCATGCAAATTTCTCCAAGCCCTGTGTTTTTAGTTTGGGGCATGTTGTACTTATTTCTATTTTGGTCGAAGCATCAGGTCCACCTCCTTTGCTGTTCTTGCACAGGCTCATGGTATAGTGATTTTTCATTTCCTGTTTACCTCAGTCTACAGCAAGGGGAGGGACCCACAAATGTGATTTGGGATACCATCCTAGGATAAGCTATTCTGGAAGTAAACATTAAAAGAAATAAAAATCACATTGTTTTATAAAGGACTTCAATTGGCAGGAATTAAACATTAACTGGATAATCAATGAAATGGGTATTTAGGAATAAATGATGTGTTTTTCCACTGCCCTGTAATACCCTTGTGAAGAGGACTGAGCAAACTTCTGCATTTTTTAGAGATGGAAGAACCTAAAGGAGGGAATATAAGGTGACTTGCAGTAGGTTCCTGGGTATGTCCCTGAGTTGTGTCCTCCAAGGAAGGAAAATAAAGCTCCTCAGAAGCCCTATAGCCTCCACTGTCTGGCTCCACTTGTCAGGGAACAGTTTGCACATTTATGAGTGGAGCTGGTCATTTTCCCCAGATGCCCTGGCAGAGAAATTGTCCCAGGTCTCTGTGGGATCATTCAGCCCTTCCCATCAAAAACCTACCAGCTGTCTTTAGGAACAGTAATCTCATATATTTATAGAGCTCCTGTTTCCCCAAAGCTCTTTAGTACGTGACATTTTATCCTTAGAACACTCCTGGGGAGGGTTAGGCCAGAAGCAGGTCTCTCCATATTTGGAGTAGGAATCCTGAAATCCACCCAAGTGTATCACCTGAAGGTGGCAGGACTCCATGGGAGGGTGGGAATCAGAAGTGAGCCTCCTGTCTGACTTCCCACCACTGGGGGTCAGGAAGCTCTTTAACCCTCATCTAAGCCAGTGGATCCCAGCTGTTTGGGTTCTCTGGAAATTCCCAGTAGAAATTTCAAATAATTTGGTGGTCTGATACAGGTATGCTGGCTTTTTATTTTTTCAAGGACCTTTTTAAAAAGTTAATTACCATTGTAGAGGGCTGGGGATGTGGCTCAAGTGGTAGCGCGCGCTCGCCTGGCATGCTTGCGGCCCGGGTTCGATCCTCATGCACCACATATAAACAAAGATGTTGTGTCCGCCGATACTTGAAAAATAAATATTAAAAAATTTTTTTTAAAAAATTACCATTGTAGATTAGAAAAGGACATTTTAACTAAAAAAAAAATTAGGAAAGGCTTTCTGCCTTCCAAGGTAATTATAATTGAAAACCATATTGCTATTGTAAATTGCAAGTTAAATGCAGAAAATATTCATAAAATATTACTCTGATAATATATTGTAGGGTATATTGTTATGATTATTTGCCTGATACAACTTGGGGTTTGGCAGCTATGTTCCATGGCACAATGCAAAGGAACTACAATATCATAAATGTGGAGAACGATAGAAGCAGATGAGATTTTTCATGACTTAGAACATTCTGAGAACCCAAAAACATCCCCTGGCATTGGCTCCTGCTGCTTTCCCTCTGTGGGGCCAGGAGGAGAGCAGGCTGTAGAGGCTCCAAGGGCTTTCCAGGAAGGGTTGCAAGGAGACCTGGGCAGCCCTACCAGATATATATCCCCAGCATGCTCACAGTGATCAGACTGTGGCTTTGATCACTCAGCCGAGGGTCCAGACTGTATTCTAAAGGGTAGCCATCTACTGGTGAAAGCCAGTTTCTGACAGGCAGTCCTCAGACTGGGAGCCAGTGGGCTGGGCCTGCCATTGGCATGAAGGATGGGAAAGGGAACTGGGAAGGACTTGAATTGAAGAGTGATTCATATAGTACCTTCCGCTTAGCTGAGGCACGAGCCCACAAGGGCTGTTGGGTTTTCTGTCCCAATACGCCTGACTCCCTGTAATTTCTGGGAGCAGTAAAAAAAAGAATTGGTTCAAGGCATTTACCAAGGGGGAGGGACAGTGCTATTTCTGGTTTTGTCACAGTGTTCTGGGGTCCAGAGCGAATAGAGGAGCACCTTGTTTTAGCTTAAGTTCGGACCAGATGCTGTTTGCTCCTATTCAGGACCCCAAACTGCCCTAGAGGGAATGTGTTACTCCTATGTAAAGGCTGGGAACTCCCTGAAATTTTATGTAAATTGTGTGTGTGGATGTGCACGCACACACGCAAGCACGCATGAGAAAAGAGGAGATATGTCAAGCTGGTAGATTCGTTTTTTTTTTTTTTTTTTTTTTTAAAGGAATCTACAGTTCTCTTCAGATTAACAAGGGGGTTAGTACATAGGCTCCACCATACTCATTGGACTCCATTAATTAAAGGTGATTTCCCAGATAGAATTGTAAAATATGAAAAGCCATCACCTGCATCTCTGCTTGCATGGAGGACTAGGGTTGAGGATACAGAAATACCTGAGGAGAGCAACCCATCCAGCTTCATTTCTAGTTTTCACCTGGCATCATCCACACACTATCTAGGGCTAACAGATTTAACAAATAAAAATACAGGATGCTTGGCTAAATTTGAATTTCAGATAAACAACACATACTTTTTTGGTTTAAGTATATCCCCAGATTCAAATTTAACTGGCATTCTGTATTTTATCTGGCAACATTATCAGTAGCATTAGTCATTATCACGAATGTCCTCATGGTCTCCTCTCTTCCTAGGAAGGCACTTTCACATACATCACAACTTGCAGTTCTGTGTGCAAGGCTTTCAGGTGCTTTTGTTCTGGGCCCAAAATTTTATAATTCCTCTCATGGACCAGGGGAGGTGCAGGTTCAGACTCCGTCAGCAGGGGGCACCATTCTCTAAAAATAGATTCCCAAGAGAGTTCCAGGGGCTTCAGGAAGGGGAAGGGGGGACACGTGAGAGTTGAAGGTTCTATTTGCTGCTCCTGTCTTCCCCCTGGAGCTCACTTCTCACCCTGCCATCCTGCCAAAGCTATTTTTGTGAATCAAGAATCTGATCCTGTCACTCCACTCCTCACTTCCAGGGTTCCACTGTTACCTTCTCAATGCACCATAAAAAGCCCTTCAGGATCCCACTGGAGTCTCTTTTGCCTGCATCATCAACTCCTGCTACTTCCAGCTTGCTTATCCCACCCACCTCACACTCCCGGCACCCCCATTCACCAGCAACTATTTGTAGTTTCCCTGTATGCTATTTACTGTCATGCCTTTGTGCCTGAAATTTCCTCTTAGAATTCCTTTTCCAATTGGTCCTAGTGACTGTTCATTCAACACATTTCACCATTATGCATTCAGATGAATCATATAACAGGCACCACACTCTGAATTGCAGGTACAATGAAGCAGGCCACTGACTGGAGCCTTGATTACAATTCACATTGAGGGTTATGGGAAGAGGGACAATAAACA